GCATTCAATTTTAAGTTCACTTTAGTTTCCCTTTAAATTGTCGGCAATACTATCTTAGCACCAATTGCCCGAGAAATGAAATTTGAATTACAAAACTGAGGCTAAACTACACATGTTGTGACAAATTACTGAATTGGAAACCTTCTCCAGGCCAGCAGTTTGTAGCTGCATTTTGTAATTCAAGTTTTAGAATTCGGATAAAGTTCAATATTTAGTAAGTAGAACAAACCCCCTGACAGGCTACAGTTATAATGCTAAACAAAACATGAAAATAGATTCTATTAAAACAATCTTTCAGCTTATTGAACTATTTCCAAACATAAGGCATACACACCAGTTCAGTGACTTTATCATTAAATAAACCATATATTACACTTAGTATGAAAAAAAATTAACTCAACATTTTATTCATTTTTTTTACTTGGATATATATATATAAAACACTTTTAAAATGAATTACTAAAATGACTTACGTAAAGATTGCTTAGAAATCTGATTACAGAATGCAGGGAAAAAAGGACAAAAATATCCTCTGATTATTTTTATTTTTTTGAAACCGCAGCTCATCAGAAATAAGATATGGCTGAACGCCAGAACTCTATCAAAGTCAAATATCTGAATAATGTGATCCAACTTACTATTTTATTCTGTATATATCAGGGGAGTTTAGTGGAACGTCCCCGCAGTGCTGGAGTTTAGTATGAAGTTATTTCATCATACACAAAAACTAAAGTTGTTACAATCTTAAAAGTTAAAGGTACACTGCAACAAATGATTCATGCAATGCATGTACATGCTCGTTTTGATTTATGATTATCAGTGCCGGTCCCGGTTCCAGAAAATAGCAGGATTAAATGGAGAAGATGCTATTTTTTTATTTTGTTTTGTATTTTTCTTTTGGTGGAGACAACTAAACATTAGTTTGCCATGGTGGTCAAGAGCTGTGCTCCATCATGTGAGCTTTATAGTCTGCCCATTCAAGAGGAGGGAAACAAACAGTGATTGACAGTTAGGGGACATCCAGTAAATGTTTATTTTATTCACAGATCAAGGGACAACTGGCTTATAGATGGTACCAAAGTATTAGCAGTAAAACAATCTATACATAAGAGCAGAATAATTTCAGACACTTTGGCTGCAGCTAGTGAGAGAGATAGACCAGCGCTGATACAGTGTATTTACCCTTGCTGTGCCTTTGTGGAAGATAGACAAGATGATAATTTCTAGTGTGAGACTTGGTTTAGCTTACTGATGTATCTACTTAGCTAACTAGTGCTTGTGGCAGTTGAAACAACTCTCCGGGTAATTTTAGGCCCAAGTAGCTTAAACTGAAAGCATCGCTGATTTTGTGAATTTTCCCAGTTTGAAATATGTAATTCAAGGTTAAATATGAAATTCACTTAGAATTTACTTTGAATTCTCACTTTATTGTATAACCCTGATAAGGTAGGAGACGGGTAGTGGACCCACTGCTCATGGGTGGGTGCAAGGGGGGCGGCAGTAGGTTCCTCCTCCTATTGTCATTTTGTGCCCCCACCCACTGCTCACGGGTGGGAGCCGGGGGAGGTGGAGGCTGTAGGTCCCCCTTTTTGTATTTTAGGGCCCCCAACCACCGCTAGTATCACTGAAGTTATATAAACCATGAACCACGATTAATGGTTTATGTCACCTCAATGATTAGCTATATAATAAAACCCATATGTATCAATATGTATAGGATGTGACTAAATTTTATACACCTTATAGTGCTCTTTTTACTGCTATGAGGGGTATTGTTATACTTTGGAGACTTTGCTGAACACAAATATGAGTGTTTAAAACAGTAAAACATACCACAACGATAAAATCACCAGTAAAAGTGCAGCTTTTGTGTAAAAAAATGCAAAAAACAAATATGAACGCTAACTTTGACAAGCGTCTGTGGCTGAGTGGCTACTACCAAAGACTTGACATACCCCATTTTGAATACCCTGGGTTGTCTAATTTTTTAAATGGTATGTCATGGTGGGGTTAATTTTCTTTTCTGGGCTACCATACCATCTCAAATGCACCATAGCCAATCTGGCAAACAGCAATTTACAGAAATTGGCAAATCATATATTTGACCCTGTAACCATAATCACCATAAAATCACCATAAAACCTGTACTTGAGGGGTACTGTTGTACTCGTGCGACATTACTCTATACAAATATGAGTGTTTTAGAGCAGTAAAATGTATTATACTGATATTATCATCAGCGAAATGGCAGAGTATGTGTGAAAAATGCAAAACAAATATATAAATGCTCATTTTTGGCCAGGGTTTGTGACTAAGTGGCTACTAAAAAATACAAGATATACCCCAGATATAGCCCAGCAAACCAATCTGGCAAATTTCAATGTGCAACTTACCGTTGACCCCTGTAAGTTTGCAAAAACTCATAAGACCTGTACCTGTACAATACTGTACTCAGGAAATGTTGCTGAACACATATTGGGGTGTTCTTTGTCAGTAACACATAACAGGAACTGAGAATCCATGCCTAAACTACAAAAAATGACTACCCAAAAGTTTGACTAGTGAAAGAATTAGTGCATGGAAAGTGTTAAAATACCACCATTTGAAATACCCTAGGGTGTCTACTTTTCAAAAATGTATGGTTTGATGGGGGTAAATTACATTGGCCAGCTTCAAAAATGTCCTAAATAGGACATGGGTGCATGATGACCAGCTGTGAAAATTCCAAGTTGGAAAACTGGAATGCGCTCCCTCCAAATAAGGTCTTTTAGCTCCCAGAGAACCCGACAGACCTATACATGGGTGGTATCACTGTACTCAGGAGATGTTGCTGAACATATATCGGGGTGTTCTTTGGCAGTAACCCTTAAAGTTCTCAGTACATGTATTCTTAAATTGCTATGTGTGTTTTTTTTTATTTGGCATAGATTGGTAGTAAAATGGTTACATGAAAAGAGTCAAAATACCCCACGTTTAACCCCTTAAGGACACATGACGGAAATATTCCATCATGATTCCCTTTTATTCCAGAAGTTGTGTCCTTAAGGGGTTTATACCTTAAAAATATAAACATGTGAAGGGTTATTCAGTGATTCCTGACAGAGAGAATTGTTTGGAAATAGCAAAGTGCTACTTGTACTTATTGCCCTATAACTTGCAAACAAAAAAGCTAAGAACATGTTAACATTGGGTATTTCTAAACTCAGGACAACATTTAGAAACTATTTAGCACAGGTATTTTTTGGCGGTTGTGATTTTGGGGGTCAAAGTTAGAAAAGTTTTTTGTTTTTTTTTTAACATATTTTATAATTGCTTTTATAGTAAATTATATGATATAATGAAAATAATGGTATCTTTAGAAAGACTATTTAATGGCGAGAAATACGGTATACAATATGTGTGGGTACAGTAAATGAGTAAGTAAGTAAGTAAATTACAGCTAAACACAAACACTGCAGAAATGTAAATCAGCTGGGGGGCGGGGCCTGACAGCCAAGATGGCCGGACATGTTTCATATCAGCACCTGCCTCACCAAACTAAATTTAGGCTACTAATGCCCAATACCACAGAGAGCACAGACTTAAATGAGCAGCAAATGGGCACTGTGAGAGGGAACAACTCGAGCACACCTGATTATAAAGGCTCTGCCAAGTGGGGGATAGACCAGAGAGGGATATCCCAGTCCCCGTTGAGGGAACTACCCTCCATGCACAAACGGAGTCTCCCATCAATCTGAACACACCGCGTGGCAAACCTATCATGGCTGCCGTGCCTTGGGCTACACTGACTTCTAAAGGCTGGGTGAGCCAGTGCTTGCAGACATGCTTCAATGCTTGTTTTGATCAGATATGCCAGGAGCTTTGGGCTCGCATTCAGAGCCGAACCCGTATCCCTGCAAAGATATAAGGGCCCAACAACCCCGCCAGGGGGTGGAGAAGCCGCAAAGTGATTTCATGCGGCTGAGCTTGCTTCCTAACATTGAATGCCCAAGGGTTGGCACTAAACGGAAGCCACAAAAATCTCCTGATGTAAGAGGCAAAAGGGGAAGAAAGCCCAATCTCAAGCTTGATTACGCACTTCCCAAATCGTCCAACACTTGCTACTACCTTCCTAAGCTGGGGGCCCGGAGGGAGATAACCCTGACGCCCTTCCCACACACTTGGAGGGAGCAACATCGATTTCAAGACCGCGCTTTTGGTGCAAAGAGTGAACGGAGCAGTGAGAACTGTACAAGGGCACTTGTTGAGGCATGGGACCAGCTTTGGAGTGCTCATTATGAGACTCTCATAGCCACTATGGGTATCGGGTGAAGGCTTGATGTGTAGGGGAAGGAGACTTGCGTTGCTGCTCTTGCCTTATCTGCTAATCCCCGCGTTTATCTAACCATCCTGGAGATTACCACCATGGCCCTACTCACTTCTACTTACTAGCAGCTGTGCATGTCCAGCATGTTTAATTCCACTACATAGGTACCTACCAGTACCACTAGTCAACCACTCACTCTAGTGACAGAGTGAGGGAGAGGGTGACTAGTGACAGAGGGAGGGGGTGACTGGTGATAGAGTGAGGGAGGGGATGACTAGTGACAGAGTGAGGGAGTGAAGTGGTCAATAGTGACAGAGTTAGGGAGGGAAGGGGTGACTAGTGACAGAGTGAGGAAGGGGGTGACTAGTGATAGAGGGAGGGGTGACTAGGAACAGAGTGAGGGAGGTGGTGACTAGTGACTAGTGACAGTCACCACCTCCCTCACTCTGTCACTAGTCACCCCGTCCTTCCCTCACTCTGCCACTAGTCACCCCTTCCCTCACTCTGTCACCAGTCCTCCCCTCACTCTGTCACTAGTCACCCTTCCTTCCCTCACTCTGCCACTAGTCACCCCTTCCCTCACTCTGTCACCCCCTCACTCTGTCACTAGTCACCACCTCACTCTAGTGACAGAGTGAGGGAGGGTGTGACTAGTGACAGAGAGAGGGAGAGGGTGACTAGTGACAGTGAGAAAGGGTGTGACTAGTGACAGAGTGAGGGAGGGTGTGACTAATGACAGAGAGAGGGAGGGGGTGACTAGTGACAGAGAGAGGGATGGGGTGACTAGTGACAGAGTGAGGGAGGTAGTGATTAGTGACAGAGGGAGGGATGGGGTGACTAGTGACAGTCACCACCTCCTTCACTCTGTCACTAGTCACCCCTTCCTTCCCTCACTCTGACACTATTTGCCCCTTCCCTCACTCTGTCACCTGTCACCCCCTCACTCTAGTGACAGAGTGAGGGAGGGTGTGACTAGTGACACAGAGAGGGAGGATGTGACTAGTAACAGTGAGGAAGGGGGTGACTAGAGACAGAGGGAGGAGTGAATAGGGCCAGAGTGAGGGAGGTGGAGACTAGTGACAGTCACCACCTCCCTCACTCTGCCACTAGTCATCCCTTCCCTCACTCTGTCACCCCCTCACTCTAGTAACAGAGTGAGGGACGGTGTGACTAGTGACAGAGAGAGGGAGGGGGTGACTAGTGACAGAATGAGGGAGGGTGTGACTAGTGACAGAGAGAGGGAGGGGGTGACTAGTGACAGAGTGAGGGAGGTTGTGATTAGAGACAGAGGGAGGGATGGGGTGACTAGTGACAGTCACCACCTCCTTCGCACTGTCACTAGTCACCCCCTCCCTCACTCTGTCATTGTGTCACTCCCTTCCTCACTCTGTCACTAGTCACCCACTCCCTCCCTCACTCTGTCACTAGTCACCCCTTCCCTCTCTCTGTCACTAGTCCCACCCTTCCTCACTCTGTCACTAGAGTGAGGGGGTGACTAGTGACAGAGTGAGGGCATGACAGGTGACAGAGGGAGGGGGTGACTAGTGACAGAGTAAGGGAAGGAGGGGGTGACTAGTGACAGAAGGAGGGGGTGACTAGTGACAGAAGGAGGGAGGGAGTAGTGACAGAGGGAGGTGGTGACTAATTACAGAGTGAGGAGGTGACTAGTGAATAGTGACAGTCACCACCTCCCTCACTCTGTCACTATTCACCCCTTCCCTCACTCTGTCACCTGTCATGCCCTCACTCTAGTGACAGAGTGAGGGAGGGTGTGACTAGTGACACAGAGAGGGAAGATGTGACTAGTAAAAGTGAGGAAGGGGGTGACTAGTGACAGAGGGAGGAGTGACTAGTGCCAGAGTGAGGGAAGTGGAGACTAGTGACAGTCACCACCTCCCTCACTCTGCCACTAGTCATCCCTTCCCTCACTCTGTCACCCCCTCACTCTAGTGACAGAGTGAGGGACGGTGTGACTAGTGACAGAGAGAGGGAGGGGGTGACTAGTGACAGAGTGAGGGAGGGTGTGACTAGTGACAGAAGGAGGGAGGGAGTAGTGACAGAGGGAGGTGGTGACTAATTACAGAGTGAGGAGGTGACTAGTGAATAGTGACAGTCACCACCTCCCTCACTCTGTCACTAGTCACCCCTTCCTTCCCTCACTCCCATCGTATACCAACCTCTTTATGGCTTGTTTTGAGGAGGACTTTATTTAAGCCCATCAAATTATGGCCCAGTTGCATAAATTATAATTTCTTTCTATGGAGCGGGCCTCTTTTCTAGCAGAAGTAAAGCAGCAGATAACCCATGTATATTTCTTTCTTGGTCTGTAGATCATAAGACTTAGGACTCCTTTCTCACATTTCTATTGGACACTATCATGTTTGACAAGCACACCTGTGATGACTAATATATAATCATTACATAACACATGATCCATTATCCAGGATAACTGAAGTCACTGGCCAATTGACGCTCAGAAATTGATGACATCTTGGTGTTGTGGAACTCCTTAAACTTATCTAAAATATAATCACAGTTATCATTATTTAGATAAATAGTTTAATTTCTTAGACATCGTAACTGAGAAAGCAATGGATTTATTTAATAGATTTATTTGTAAAGAAAATTAATATGAAGAACGTCTTCTTGTTTCAAATTCTCTCCTAAAATGTTAAATTTAAAAAAATTATTTCGACTAATAACATTGTCAATACCTTTCAATAAAGTAGTTTATCAGAAAATCAATGTTAAAAATTGTAACAGATAGGAAATTCTAACATCTAAACTGTATGAAAACCAGAATACAAATAAAAGATGAAAAATTCTCACTGTTTTTCGTAAAAAATTTTAGGAAACATTGGTTCTATCTCTAAGTAATGTTCTCCATTTCTGAATTTACCTATGATGCTGTTTGACAGAGATTCTGCAATTAGAAACCAGGTAGCGCTGATTTGAAACCAAATACAATAACATCTGTTCCTTTTTTGAACAAACTTGATTAGCTCAACTAAACTGTGTAAATCTGAATTTGAACAGCAAAGGATCTAGGATTTCACACAGGCACAATCTATAACATTAAAGGATATTATACATTTAATTCTGCATTTACCTAATACCACGTGTGCAGTAAAGTATACTTTATTGAGACCTTTGAAAAATGAAAGGTATGGATCCCAACTCTCAACAGTAAAACTCAAAGGAGTCATTTTACAAAGTTCTACCCATAGGCAGATATTCCTGGCTTCCATGTAATATGCAGTATGGCAGACTGGATGGGAGCAGAGATGGGGGCTATACTGGATACAGGATATTAATGTAAACACAGTGATAACTGATTAATTATTGTCATATCATATAAATAAAAATCAAATAATATGTTTGTAAAAAAAAAATCTAAAAAACAAAACAGTACATGTAATAAAAAATGAATCGCATTTTTTGCACTTTATATTTTTGGTAAAGAAAATATTCCACTAATATAAAACATACAATATATAAATCATGATTGTACAGCACTACAGAATATGCTGGCACTATATAAATAATAAAATAATGATAATAATGATAATATTATAATAATCTCTGTGCACTTTAATAGGTTGTAACATTAACCGGAATGCAAAAGTTAAATGCATTGTAAGCCTCATTTTGGGGATTTAGATTGGAATTTGCTATAATTTGTAGTTAATTCCTTACAGGGTTATTTACTAAATAGCAAAACTTAATGTCAGAATACTTGATTTGAAAACAATAGCTTAAAAAACCCAAAAAGTAATAATCGTGCAGTACAGTATGTACGGTGAATAAGTGGTGAATGATCTTGTGTAATTTTCACTCACACATTCTTGAGCTAACTAAGAGCTCAGCTGAATTGTGCATGGACTAAACAATCCCCGTCTAAGGATATAGGATGGTATGGACGTCCCGGGTGCCTCAGATAAAATGCAGTATGCAGTGTGCTTTATCAATTACTACTTGTACCTGGATTGTGAAAAGCTGTAGATAAACCTCCCTCTACAAAGCACTCAGTGCATACCTTTGTGGAGCTGCACTCAGTGCTTTGTGGGGGGAGGTCTACCTACAGCTTTTCACAATCCAGGTACAAGCAGTAATGGATAAAGCAAATGCCTTTGTGGAGCTGCACTCATATATATACCCCTTGGTCCCTTCCAGTTCTGAGTTCGCCAGAGGAATTCCTTGTGTTTCACTCCTAGGGCCCATACAGTGCAGATCACCGACCCAAGCTACAGCCATACACATGATGCTTCCAGCATCACAAAGCTTCCGGGGCACATATCTGAACTTCTGGGTCAAGCACCTCGGGAGCAGTGAGTACACACAAATGCGCTAAACTCCCAAGTGGTGTTCCCATATGCATGAACGGCATAATACACATTAATAGGTAATTCACATATAAACAAACAAACTCTATGCATGAACGTTGTAATCATCTCACGTCCGATTTCATTCATACGAATCAACTTTACATACTTACCACTCAGTAAATTTGTACATGAGAAAGCTCATACTGCTACTCTGATACTCCAATTCTACAGTTGCATCTGTTCATTCGGCTAAATCAGCCTCTCAATTTCTTTGCCAACAATATGCACGAACACTGCCATCTACTGACAAAATTAGCTAACTACATAAAAACCCTACCCTGTTATACTATTATGTTTTACTTATAATCTGCTAATGCTGATTAAGGCTGATATGCAATTATGGGATGTTGTGTTTATTTATGTGTGAAACTTTAATAATTATGCTCTAAATAAATATGTGGTGTTTCCTCCATCACGTAGAGCGGATTAATGAGTCCAAAGTTTAGTTTTAATACAAATATATGGTCAATCATAAACAGTATCTAACAAGAGTACAACCGTCACATTTTTGTAAATATTTTATTATATCTTTTTATGTGACAACACTGAATAAATGACACTCTGCTACAATGTAAAGTAGTAAGTGTACAGCCTGTATAACAGTGTAAATTTGCTGTCCCCTCAAATAACTCAACACACAGCCATTAATGTCTAAGCAGTTGGCAACAAAAGTGAGTACACCCCTAAGTGGAAATGTCCAGATTGGGCCCAAAGTGCCAATATTTTGTGTGGCCACCATTATTTACCAGCACTGCCTTAACCCTCATGGGCATGGAGTTCACCAGAGCTTCACAGGTTGCCAATGGAGTTCTCTTCAACTCCTCCATGACAACATCACGGAGCTGGTGGATGTTAGAGACCTTGTGCTCCCCCACCTTCCATTTGAGGATGCCCCACAATTTCTCAGTCCATCACTTTTACCATGGTCAGTCCATCACCTTTACCTTCAGCTTCTTTAGCAAGGCAGTGGTCATCTTGGAGGTGTGTTTGGGATCGTTATCATGTTGGAATGCTTCCATGTGGGCCAGTCCCTCAAGAGAGGGGACATGCTCTGCTTCAGTATGTCACAGTACATGTTGGCATTCATGGTTCCCTCAATGAACTGTAACTCCCTAGTGCCGGCAGCACTCATGCAGGCCCAGACCATGACACTCCCACCACCGTGCTTGTCTGTAGGCAAGACACACTTGTCTTTGTACTCCTTACGTGGTTGCCGCAACACACGCTAGACACCATGTGCACCAAATAAGTTTATCTTGGTCTCATTGGACCAAATGACATGGTTACAAATCCATGTCCTTAGTCTGCTTGTCTTCAGCAAACTGTTTGTGGGCTTTCTTGTGCATCATCCTTAGAAGAGGCTTCCTTCTGGGATGATAGCCATGTAGACCAATTTGATGCAGTGTGCGGATTATGGTCTGAGCACTTACAGGCTGACCCCCACTCCTTCATCCTCTGCAGCAATGCTGGCAGCACACATATGTCCATTTCCCAAAGACAACCTCTGGATATGATTCTGAGCATGTGCACTCAACTTCTTTGGTCGACCATGGCGAGGCCTGTTCTGAGTGGAACCTGTCCTGTGAAACCACTATAAGGTCTTGTACACCGTGCGGCAGCTCAGTTTCCGGATCTTGGCAATCTTCTTATAGCCTAGGTGTCAGGTTAGACCTGCCGGGTTTCGCCGAATTAAGCCACTTCCGGGTTGACGGCGCTTTGCCCCGCCCCCTTCTCTGACGCGGTCTTCCCACGCTACATAGGAAGACCGCGCCAGATTCAAAGGGCTGGATTATGGAACAAGTTGCTGTGTATCTCTGACCGGCTAACCGATTGCATATTAAGCTTTTCTGTGTACCGAACCCGCTCTGTGAACGACTACCCGTCTTCTCCACTCCTCGACCGGACTGTTTAATGGACTTCTACTCTCTCTCCCAAAAGACTGCTTAAATTGATCTAAACAGTTCTCTGGAACTACTAATATTAAGCTAAGTACTTTTCAGTTACAATTATAAGCTAGCCATTGTTAATCACTCTTGGAATTATTTCCTCTGCAATTAATACTAAATCTGCATACAAACT